TGGAGTTAAGTGAGTCTAAGTGGTTTTTATTTACATTTTGTTAATAGCTAGGTAGCCTGAACATCTTTTCATGTCCATTAGCAATTTGAATTTGTTCTTTTGAAAAATGCCTGCTCATTTCCTTCGCTCATTTCCCCATATGCATGGATGTTATTCCCCTATATGTTGTGTATTGTGCAAAGATTTTTCTCTCATTCTTTTGTTTCTTCACTTTGTTGACCATTTCCTTTGCTGTACAGAAGCTTCTTAGTTTGATATAGTCCTGTTCTGTTTATTTTGGCTTTGACTGCCTGGCTTTTAGTAACTTTTCTAAGAGGTCACTGCCTATGCCTATATCTTGCGGAGTGCTTCCTATGTTTTTCTAATAGTTTGATGGTTTCTGGGTGGAGATTAGGTCCTTAATCCCTATGGAGCTGATTTTCTTTAATAAGATAACAGGTGGGGGATCTTGTTTCTAAACTTATCTTTTAATTCCATTTTCCATAAACTTTGCAGTGCCACCATTTTTCCCCCTCTGTTCTGTTCCATTGATAGAAACCTTTCTCTAAGAAGGTACTGTCATCATTGATCATGGCTGTTTTATCAGTAACTCTTAAAATCAGGCAGTTTGAGTTCTCTAAAATTATTCTTGTTTCTAAATTCCTTTAGCTCTTCTACTTTAAGAGTTGTGTTCTCTACAATAAATATTATTGGAAGTCTTATTGGAATTGTATCAAATCTAGAAACTCAGTTGATTTTTGTGTGCTGATCTTGTATTCCAAACCTTGTCACATATCCTTATTAATTCTGGACATTTATGTATAGATTCCTTTGGGGCTTTTTACATATATTCTTCATGTAGGCATTATTGTATTTCGTCCCTTTCAATATGTGTACTTTTTTTGTCTTATAACACTGTGGTTTCCAACATTATGGTGAATATGAATTAGTAAGAATGGACATTTTGTCCTATTCCTAGTCTTAGGGAAAAAGCCTTCATTTTTCATAGTTGACATGTTTGCTGTATGTTTTTGGATATGACTTATAAAGTTAGGACATCACTAAAATTAGTAATTTGCTAGGAGTTTTTAATCATGAATGAATATAAAATTCTTGAAGTTTTTTTTCTTAAATAACTAATGTCTTTTTCCACTAGAAATTGTTAGTATTGATTTATTAATTTATTCAGCTAGGTAGGTCTAGGGGTAAATCTTGTTTAGTTGTGGCTTACTATTAGTTTTGTATACTTGGGATTTATTACTTTTGAGAAATATTGCTATTTCGGTTATTGAGGTATAGTGGCATATCATTTTGTTACGATGTCCTGTTTTTGGTTTGAGTGATAATTGTTTCACACACAAAAAAAAATCGAAAAATATTCTCTCCTCTTTTGCTTTCTGGAATACAAATAGAATAAAGGAAAAATGGTGGCTTTGGGGAATGTCCATGTCCCTCTGAGCATTAAGAATTCCTGTCTCTTGGAAACCAGCAATGTGTTTCGTGTGTCTGCACGTGCTATCGACTTCTGGATTTGGAGCTGTCATTGGAAAAGACTAGGGGTTATAGAGGAAGAAAAATAAGAAACTCATTATACTTTTGGTAATATATTAAATGCTAGTCTTCTTCCAGAGTCTATTTGTCAATTTATTCCCCCAAAATAGCTTCTCTGTGTAGGTTTTATGGCTGTATATTCTCCAGTTTTTATAGCTTTATTCAGAGAGAGAGAGGGAGCTTCATCCTTCCTAGAATCCACAAATAATTTTTAGAAAGGCAGTAGGCAGTTAACAAAGACAAGAGCATATTTAGATGTTTTCTCTTTAGGAAAAAAGTTAAAAGAAGCTAAGACAAGCACTCCTAGGCCTGAATACTTCACACTTGCACTCACATTAGAAAGCTGGAAATGCCATATGGCTAAATTTACATATGGAATTTCTATCAGTTTTCCGTTGACCCACAAGTTACAATGTAAGTAATGACTTACAGCAACACACATGTATAAATTCACCATCCATGTAAGTCAGAACTCCAGGTGGGTTCAGCTGGGCTCTCTGCTCAATGTCTGACAGAGCCAAAATCACAATGTCCATGGGCGGGATTCTAATCAGGAAGAATCTACTTCCAAACTCATTCCATTTGTTTACATTATCTAGTTTCTTGTGATTAAAAAAAAAAAAAAAACTATTTCTTGCTGGTTGTTGTCCCAGCTTTCCTTAGCTCTGGCAACCACTCCTTCCTTCTCACATGACCCCCACCATCCTCCAAAGAGCAGTGGTCTGTAATAGAGTCTGTAATAGCTTCAGACCTGTCTGGCTCCTTTTTTTTTTCTTCATGTGCCTTTTTGAAGAGTGAACCAGCCAATGACAGTTACCAAGTTTCCTTCCCTCCCTGCCTCCCTTACTTTCTCTGTCTCTTTTTGTCTCTCTCCTTTCTGTTCCTCTTCTTGAGTACATTAATAAGAACAAAACTTTTTAATGCTATAGAATGCAAAGGAGGGCACTTGGTCTAAGGCTATCGATCAACTTCTTGGAGCAAATGCTAAACAATATTGTGAAGATTTGAAGTTAAGAAGGAATAATTTAAATATATATATAGAGAGAGAGAAACAGAAACAAAAGCATAGTGTGCGACAGTATACTGGAGAAAGGTTGTCTGATAGTGTTGGAGCTGCAGAGGTGAGGCAGACCATGATGGCAGATCAGCAAAAGCGAGACCTCCTACCAAGTCCCCACTCCTGCCTCTCCATTCCGTTAAGATAGGTCTTTTATTTCATAGATGAGCAGGAACCAGCAAGGAATTTGAAGCAGAAGTAAGCCAATCATAATTTCATGTAAAGCAAACCGGTTATTACTTTGTGGAGACTTGCTTAAAGGGACTCGGTCTAGATAAAGAAAATGTTAATAGGCAACAATGTCAGTGATATGGAGGACACAAGTAGGGTGTGGTTGAATACTGGAAAGAAGGAGTTTGAATTTAGGCAGTGTTTTAGAAGTAAATTGACAGAATTTAATCTGTTGCTGGATTTAGAACCAAAGAAAAAGGAAATAAAATGTGGAGTCAAAATGTCAGATTTCTAACTTTAGCTACTTGGTAGACTATGAGGCCATTATCTGAAATAGGGAATATAGTATGTCTGAGAAAAGTGAGAGTTTTGAGTTAATGTATTTGTTGACCCTGTGGGAATTCAGTGGAAAGGGGGTAGCAAGCTTTTGTATTCATTGATTTCTTTTTTCCTGCATTGCCTTATTGAATATTCAGTTAGGACCTACAATGGATAAAACATCAGTTTAGGCACTTGGCATATTAAGTTATAGGACAGCCCTACCTGTACAGAAGCTCACAGTTCACTCAGCAAGTGACTGCAAAATAATATAAGCAGATACCTGGTGATAAGAAAATTACATGATAGTTTAGAAGCAATGGTAAGAGGCACCTCATTAAGCAACCAAGGCCAAGAACAGTTTCCCAGAAGTACTCCAAGGCTGAGTCCAGAAGATGTGTTATGCAAGTCGTCACATAAACAGTTTTTTGTGTGTGTGTTCTTGGTACCACAACAGTAGCTGAAAGACAAATGTCCATATTGAGTTAGTCTACAACTCTTACGTGTACCTTTCCTTAGGTGTTTTCGATTGTGCAGTCAGTAAACATTGATTAGGTTCAGTGGTTGGTGGTATAGGGTATTTGGGCAACATCCTAGGTAGGTCACTAAATTATTTCTGTGGTTACGAGGTGAGCACTTCTGATCCTTAATTTTAGTTGAAGTCCTTATGTTATGAATCCAGGAAATCTAAAGCAGCTTCAGATGTTGGCATCTGAGTATTTTGTTTTACTGTAATTATTATAATCTGATGTCCTCTTTTTTTTCTTTGTGATAAAAAGTAGATATTGTTTTCTGTAAGACCTTAGAATTTGAAAGCCCATAGCAGAACAGATAAATATGTAGGGTATTTGATCCATTTAATTTCCCTGAAATATTTTTTAACAACAACCTCTTTCAGTAATTAAATTCTACAAGTCAAAAGTAGTATTCCTTAAGATAGATATATTTATATAATATGTACATGTATTGAACCATCACATAGTACCCTGTTAATATCTATATTATTTGTTCAAATTTTTTCATAAAAATAGTTCCTTTCAACAAATGCTGCTGATAGATCTGGATCCCCCTCATACAGTAGAATGAAGTTAGATCCCCTACCTCACCCAGTACACAAAAATTAATTCATGAAGCACCATTGTCCTAAATGTGAGGTAGAACTAGAATTTTAAAAAGTAAACATCTTTATGACCATGGCATAAACAATTGCTTCTTGACATGACACCTAAATAACAAGCTCACAAAGTTGAACAGAAATGTTAAAAAGAATAAACGTGGTTTACTTTAATGTTATGTAACTAACAAATAAGAACATCTGTTATATAGTTCCTATAAAATGCATTGTAGGTTTTAGGAAATCTCAGTCCATTAGTATTACATTGGGTAAGGTATTTGATCCTCCTCATCAGTGCGGAATGTAGAGACAGGTGCAGGGATTCATGGTTTCCAGGAGGTCACAACGGGGTCATAAACTGAGAGCTTAATACGTTATTGTTAACATCAATATTTGTGTCAAACATTCTGGGTAGTAAGGAAGTCTTCTTTCTTGAAGGAAAAAATGCCAGTTTCAGATAAATCACAAACTGGAATATTGGCTTCATTGCAGCGTGGAGCACGAAGTCAGAGTTGGAACCAAATGGCCTTCAGACCCCATGTAGCCCTCTCTCGAACAGGAACAGACAGTCAGACAGCAGGGCCAGCGATGGAGGCATTCATGTAGTCTAGGAAGAGTGCTTCTTCAGGTACCTATAGGAGAAGAGTTAGGAGACAAGCGAACAAAACAGAACAGAACATTCTGCCACCCGACTGAGTCTATGATGCATTTCTAGTGACACGTTAAGTAGGAGCAGGACTGGGAAATGCAGGCCTGTATGCAGTAAGAAACCAGATTACTAAGATTTTCTGACCTTTTTCACCCCTGTAGCAGACATCAACTTGGATCTATCCAAGCCTTTGAAAGCAAACCTGAGTTTTACCAAACTGGATCAAATGAACCGCTTTTTAAAGAAGATAAAAAGTGCACATGGCTTTGCACCTAGCGAAGAGACATCAGACACCACATTGAATAAGGAAGAGCTTCCAGTCTCCAAATGTTACCGTGGAAAGTTGTCCAAGCCTAAAGTTCATGGTGATGGAGTGCAGAAGGTTTCCATTCTGGAAAACATATGGAGAGCTATTTCCTGCTTTCAAAAAATTTCTACCCACACTACTCAAATTGTGGTCTCCATGGAAACTGTTCCTCATCCTAGTAAGCCATGTCTATTAGCATCGTTATCAAGCCTCAGCGGAAGCTTTCAAGTCAAAACAGCACAAAAAGTCCCAGGTAAGTGGCTGATGAGGGTAAGGAGGAGGGTGGAAACAGGATGAGAAAGCAGTGTGATTTGTAAACACTGGAAAGAGCATCATTTTGAAGATTTGTGTTGTGTATATGTTAAAAGTTTTATTGACTATTAGATATTGGAGCATTTTGGGCTTGTGACCTTGCGTTAGACAGAGGTTTATAACAAATCCAATGAGTCTGGGTATTTCAATGTCATGATGTTTCTCTCTACCTCTTATGATATGTTCTCACAGATGCCTGAAAGTTGTTCATTTCTGCTTTTTTTTTTTTTTTTTGCCTACAATAGATGTATTGAAGCCAGAAAATCAAGTTTTTGTACAGTTAGGTCATTGGTTCTCAAAATACCATCTTGGAATCAGCAGCATTGGCATCACCTGGGGTCTTGTATTAAATGCAAATCCTCAGGCCCCAATGCATGATCTGTTGGATCAGAAACTGGGTTTCTTTGCTTCCAGAAGCCTTACAGGTGATTCTCCTGCTCCTGTGTTGAGTCACTGGTGACTGTTACAGAAATTGCTGTGGTGGGAGACGAGCTGCACAAAGTATGTTAGAAAGCCAGGTTCAACTGTGCAGGAATGCCACAGAAGCGTTTTCTCGGTTCTGGGCGCTGCACCCTGAATGTCATGGATGAGGGGAGAGGTGACAAGTTCACTGACAATGACATCTACATTTTCCTCTCCTCTTACCCTGAGTTCTTATGTGCCTTTCACACTGAATTAAAAAGAGTGGACAGAGAAATGGAAGGAGAGGAAGAAGAAAGGCAAGACACAGGTGGGAAATAACAGTTTTCAATCATAGAAACTGCTACTGTAAAGGGCTAGGGCACAATGCCAGAAATATTGCTCTGAAAGGAAAAGTAGCAAGAGAATCATCTCTCTCTCTTTTTTTTTTTAACTACTCTAATTTGAAAGGAAGGGAAAGAAATGAGACTGGGGGATAGTGCAGGGGATAAAGTAAATCCTTAAATTTTATATTACATTTGTTGCTTACCAAAAGTTAATTAAGTAACAGCTGGACACTAACAGGAACATAGTTTGATATAGCTAGTTTGGACACAGTAAGTAGTTTTAAGAGATAAAGAAGTTTTATGCTTGAGAAGTATGAATTTTCAGCCAAAACATGGATGATTTATTTCTTTCTCACCAGAAATATTTGCGACCAAGCCAGCAAAAGTTCTGTATTTTTTTTTATTGTCTTAAAAGTTAGAAATGAAAAGCTTAAGGTTCATGGAACATGAAAGAGTATGAAACACTGGAGGCTGTAGTGTCCGATTGGTCCACAAATAAATTGCAGCCCAGCCGACGCTGGACCCAGTCCCATGCCTTTTGCATTGCACCTTCATCACAGCAGAGGAGAGCTTAAACATACTGCTTCCATTCCAGATCCTCATTTTTTGTTTGATTTTTTAATCCTCAGTTGCTTTTTATTCATTTGCTACTCATCTACTTTTAAGGATATTTGCATTTGGTAAACAAATCTACAATACAATGAACTTAAAATCTCTGAGCTGTGCCACTTAGCCAACTCATTCTGTTTTTATAACTTGTTTGTCCCGCTTTACACTAGAAAAAATACATATACTACTCCTATAAAAATGTGCATGAATTTAACATAGAAATAAAAATTACTGCTTTCACCAAGATATGCTTTATACAATTCTCATGTGTAGTATCCATCAGCTATTCTGAAAAATAGTTATTTATATCGAATAAAAATTGAACTTAACCACTTAACAGAAAACATTTTATTATGAGACTAGAACACCAAAATCATTTTTTCCTTTATGCTTTATGTGACAACATGCTCAGTTTAAAAAGATTGTCACCAAAATAATTAATTATAATTAAATAATGTTATTGTTTAGTGTTTGTACAGGCTGATCTCTAGGAACATTAATCAGATGCATGTTTTATAAATTTTGCCATGTTTTCTATCTAAATATTAAAGCTTTGAATATTAATTTTACTGTAAAGTTGCTAGCTTAAAATTTTCATGCTTTGTGATTTAGATTACATGCAAGTATATTTTTAGGAAATAGTTTTAATAACTGCTAAAAGTAGCTACTACCAATACAAACACACTCACCCCACGAAGAACCACTTACCAGTAGTCATATTTCGTTTTTTTTCTTTTTTGAGTGAAACCATTCTGCCTTTAACCAAAATTTTTTATAATGTATCTTTGAGCTTGCGGGGTCAATGTAAGATTTTTATAGTTTGAATCTAATACAGAAATACTTAGCTGTGTCTTTGATTTTACAGTTTATATAACTGTTGTGACCATCTGCAGCAGCTGCACTGTTCAGATTATTTGCTGAACCAAATTGAGCACAGTGACAGAAGCAGTCATCTCAGATGTACTATTAAGCAGAGAAAGAAAAAGGAGCATAGCCTTGGTACAGTATAGCCATCTGCTGTACAGATGTTATTGTATAGAATGACTTAAGATAAAATAATTGTAGAAAATTTTCATTAAAACCTCAACAATTTGCACTTGTTTATGCGAATCTGCATAGCTCCCCAATGAGACAACACACTTGGGGTTTCTTTGGTTCTCACTCACTTTCTCTTTGATCCTTTTTGATGTGCTGACTTTAATAAACACAGTCAAAAACACTGTGCAAAAACATCATGGAAAAAACTACAAAGGAACAATTATAGCAGCAGAAACTACTCTAATCCCTAACTTACGCAAGCTATTTTTAGTGAAATATTTTTTTAACACTCTTTATGTGACAATGTTATATAAACAGGGAAAAATGGTCCTTTCCAGATGAATTTTAATTTAGAAGCTGAAATAGGCTTGTAATGCTAGAAGAATCTTATACGCTAAGTAATATTTAGAAAAACACCATTGGGAATGTGTCTTAGGCATATTCCTTCATTTGTCAAAGGTACAAAACTATTTTCATTCTCCTGATAATTTTACTGTTTTATCTTCTGAATCATCACAAATTGATGAGAAGTGTATCAGAAAAGGGAATAATAAAAGCACAGAGATGAAAAATTGATTTTTTCCCCAAAATATTATCAGTGAATTTAGATACTCAGAGATGTGCTCTGATATGCTTTTACTTTTTTTCTTTTTCTTTCTTTTTCTCTTTTTACAAATTATTCACTGAAGTGGTAGAAGTAATCCCAGTTGTTCTGGTGTTTTCAACGCTGGAAACAAAACAAAATCATGAAATATTTACAAAAACAAAACCCACCAAATTTTAGCCTCCTGTTTTGTTCTACTACCCTAAAGTAGGAGAGTTCCAAGGAATTTTTTTTTCTTAATTCTGCTCTGCAGATGCTAGCGTAACAGTAACTTATAGTAACCTAAATTTTATTACCACTGGAATTCTATGTTCTCTGTGTCTTCAGTTCTAAAAAAAAAAAAAGCTCTAAAACTCAGATTTTAGTAGATATAATGCTTGTATTTTAGAAGTTGGTGTGTAATACCATAAAAAATCAAATAATTGCATCATCAATATTAAAATGAATCTGATTAATTGATATTTTACATTTGAGTTATTTTATGCAAGCAATATTGCTCTTGTTGTCCATTGAATCTAGTCCATTCTGCAGTGTATTCTTCTAAAAAATAAAACAGCCCCTTCCTCTCATATATATACACATACAGCATAATCATTTTTTACTATTTGAAGTGTGTCACTTTGGAGAAACTACACGTATAGGATTATAAATTCTGAACTGACCACGTAGCACTTTCCACAGGAAGGGTGCAGAGTGAGCTGCCGACTTTAGCTCCCTTGTCAGGGTAAATTATGGCTCTATTAGGGCGGCACTCCTTAGATTTCGGCCAACAGGAGTGCACAGTTGAGAGCTGTGAAGGAGCCATGCTTGCGGCTGCACTGGACTCTCAGAGGCACTTACTTTGGCAACCTTCACGTAGCTAAGGAAATAAAAATAGGATATAGATGCTACTGGGAGCAAGAACCTGAACGAGGCCATCTTAGCTGACATGTTAACCGAAACTGGGGAGAAAGTCTGAAAGATCCAGAGACTTGAAGGGCTTTTCACCCACGCAAAAAGCAGTGAGTGGAGCTCCTTCTAGTGAAACAGCTGGGATTTAAAAGAACCTTCGCCTTCCCAACAGACAAAATTAGAAAGCAATCCAGCATAGCAAGATTATTTTGCACTTACATAAAATGCTTCTAGGGTTCACCAAATTAGCAACCATTAAAATTCAAACAGCCTGAAGTTCCTTTTCATGCATTGAAAAGTGAAACCGGGTCATTAGCTGATACAGAGCAGAGCAGCAGCTTTTCTTTGCGCAGTTCACCAGGTCTCCTGAGGAAAAGCCCTTTGGGCGTTATCCATAGCTTTTGGATGCTCTAGAGCATGAAAGGAAGCCTAAAGGGAAATAAAACATTAAATTAGATATGACTACCTAAAAGAATATGTTGCAATAGTAAGCCATTTACAACACCCTAAAGACTCCTGGTACCTTTAGGAAGAAATAGCTTCTTTTTCCAATGCCTGAACAATAGGAAATGAATTGTTCGTCAGTGGAAACCAGAAGATAAACTTAACTTTTGAGCAGCCACTGAGGATTCAAGTGGAAATACAGCTAGTAGACAGCTATACAAATCACTAACAAACTGTAATGAATATTGGGTGTGGGCATCAGGATCCTGTCATTTCTGACACTATGTCCTGAGTAGCTTAAACCCAACAGTCAAGCCAAGGTGGAGACCTCATCAGGTCTGTAACATCTGGGATTTTTATTTGTCATTTTGGCATACGCTGCAAGCGCAAAAGAAAAAGTAAAAGGGGATTATCTTGACAATGAAATGAGTTACTGAATCTTGTGATAATGAAAAGCAGAAGAATTCTAATGCCTCTCTATAGTCCCTAAGGTAGAGGTGCGTTTATAGTTTTGCAGAAGTAAAATGGAGGTGGGTAGAACAGATGGCCTAGGGTCCATGAAACACAACACCCCACCTGCCTGTCCCAGCACTGCGTCCCACTATTAAT